CGTCTTTCTTGTTTAAGGCGTCACTTGAGAAGAATCAGTTGGTGACCTCTGGAAAACTGTCTTGCGCTGAAAATACACCCTGTTAAGACAGATACTAAGCAAACAATTTCATCATTAATATCAGATAGTCATTCATTGATTTCTTAAGGAAGACTGGTGGGGAGCGGTGAAGATCTGAGTTCTTTCAACACGCAGTGAAAATTGGCACACTTTCAATCATTGCTGTATTATTTGCTAATTTTTTTGCCAAGTATTTATTTACCTGACGACACTAATCCATGTTCAATTGCTCTCTTTAAACTCATCAAAAGAGGAAAACTGTCAACCAATTAAAAATCAGGGTCTCTAAAATAGTTGTGTTAGAATTATACGTAAGCTTCCGAGCCCTTAAAAAAGAAGTGTGACACTTACAGTATTAGATAGTCCAGGAAGGAAAAGGTGCGGCCTTCTTCATTATTCCAATTAGCTGAAACTAGAGCATACAAAAAAACAAAACATAAGGCTGACAGACTAAAACAAGCTGGATTTTCTTAATCAAAGACGTTTGCTAAAAATAATCGAAAAAAAGCATTTAAAATAAGGTTTGAGAATGCAGGAATTTTAGCTGTTGGGTGCAGGGAAATATGTGTTTTTCATCGGGTCTATCCTGTCTTTATATTTCCATGTAAGTCTGGTGGATTTTTGTTTTCTTTTTATGTATCAGATCTTTCTTAAACAGTACTTTCAAGCATCTTTCTTGACTTTAGAGCAGTCTTTAATCTATACATCAAAGTCATTTTCAGCTGTTTTTCGCAAACCTGTGATCGTCTTTTTTTTTTAAGGCGTCGCTTAAGAAGAATCAGTCGGTGACCTCTGGAAAACTTTCTTCTGCAGAAAATACGGCCTGTCAAGACAAATACTAAGTAAATAATTTCATCATTAATATCAAATAGTCATTCATTGATTTCCTAAGGAAGACTTGTGGGGAGTGGCAATGATCTAAGTTCTTTTAACAGCCAGTGAAATTTGGAACACTTTCAATTATTACTGTATTATTTGCTTATTTTTCTTGCCAAGTATTTATTTACCTGACGACACTACTCAATCTTTAATTGCTCTCTTTAAACTCATCAAACGAGGAAAACTGACAAGCAATTAAAAATCAGGGTCTCTAAAATAGTTGTGTTAGAATTATACGTGAGCTTCTGAGCGCTTAAAAAAGAAGAGCGACAGTTACAGTATTAGATAGTCCAGGAAGGAAAAGGTGCGGCCTTCTTCATTATTCCAATTAGCTGAAACGAAAGGATAGAAAAAACAAAGCATAAGGCTGACAGACCATAACAAGCTGGATTTCCTTAATCAAAAACGTTTGTTAAAAATAATCCAAAAAAAGCATTTAAAATAAGGTTTGAGAATTCAGGAATTTTAGCTGTTGGGTGCAGAGAAATATGTGTTTTTCAACGGGTCTATCCTGTCTTTATATTTCCATGTAAATCTGGTGGATTTTTCTTTTCTTCTTTTTATGTCTTTCATCTTTCTTACATCGTACCTAGGATCGTCTTTCTTGACTTAAGAGCAGTATTTAATCTATACATCAAAGTTGTTCTGAGGTGTTTTTTTACCTGTGATCCTCTATCCTGTTTACGGCATGGCTTGAAAAGAATCAGTCGGTGACCTTTGGAAAACTGTCTTCGGCTGAAAATACACCCTGTTAAGACAGATACTAAGCAAATAATTTCATCATTAATATCAAATAGTCATTCATTGATTTCCTAAGGAAGACTTGTGGGGAGTGGCAAAGATCTGAGTTCTTTCAACACCCAATGAAATTTGGAACACTTTTAATTGTTGCAGTATTATTTGCTAATCTTTTTGCCAATTATTTATTTACCTGACGACACTAATCAATCTTTAATTGCTCTCTTTAAACTCATCAAACGAGGAAAAGCGTCAACCAATTAAAAATCAGGGTGTCTAAAATAGTTGTGTTAGAATTATACGTAAGCTTCCGAACCCTAAAAAATAAGTGCGACACTTACAATATTAGATAGTCCAGGAAGGAAAAGGGTTGGCCTTGTTCATTATTCCAATTAGCTGAAACTAAAGCATAGAAATACAAAACATAAGGCTGACAGACCATAGCAAGGTGGATTTCCTTAATCAAAAACGTTTGTTAAACATAACTCAAAAAAAGCATTTAAAATAAGGTTTGAGAATTCAGGAATTTAGCTGTTGGGTGCAGGGAAATATGTGTTTTTCAATGGGGATAGGGCTTCTGATAATTCAGGTATTTCAGCGAAATTCCCCAAAAAACGCAAAATACCGCGAAATCCGCCAGAAATATTTCCAAATACATGTCGGCAAAACATATTTAATACTTATCTTGGCTATTAGACCTGTTTTATTCACCCCAAACGTCTAAAATTATCTAGAAACTTCGTCACTGCAACGAGTAAACAACGTCCCAAAACTACCACGCCCTCTTAGATGAACGTTGCGAAAAACTAGGCACTAACCATAATGTTAATAGCTTTAGCATTCGCTCATTTCTCGAGTGAACTTTTTTTGAAAGAGCAAATGGTTATCCCTGTTAAAAAAAAAAGTTAAACAACGCTGGTCATATCGATGCAAAATTGATCGATTTTAGCGAAATTTGCCAAAAAAAAATGCAATGAAATCGGCTGTTTTTTACAGATTGTTTCTTGGCGAAGTTTTCCCCCGAAATTTTCTGTTAGATCGGCCAATTTTTTTTAACAATTTGCCCCAAAAATCCTTCGAAATTTGACTTTTTTCCGATTAAATTCCGCGAAATTGGCTGATATTTCTGCGAATTTTGACTTTTCTCCCGCTAAAAACCCGCGAAATCGGCCGATTTTTCCACGAATTGGTCCCTGAAAATCCCGCGAAATTTTGCCCTTTTTTCCGCGAAATATCAGAAGCCCAGTAATAATAAACTATCCTGTCTTTATATTTCCAGGTAAGTTTGGTGGATTTTCCTTTTCTTGCTTTTATGTCTCAGATCTTTCTTACACAGTACCTTTGATCGTCCATGGTAAAGGGGTCGCTTGAAAAGAATCAGTCAGTGACCTCTGGAAAACTCTGTTCCGCTGAAATTACAGCCTGCTAATACAGATACTAAGCAAATAATTTCATCATTAATATCAAATAGTCATTCATTCGTCGATTTCTTAAGGAAGACTTGTGGGGAGTGGCGAAGATCTGAGTTCTTTCAACACTGAGTGAAATTTGGCACACTTTCATTTATTACTGTATTATTTGCTAATTGTTTTTGCCAAGTATTTATTTACTTGATGGCACTGAGGAATCTTCAGTTTCTCTCTTTTAAGTCGTCAAAAAAGGAAAACTCTCATCCCTTTCTAATTCACTGGTTTAATCTTAAAAGTTGATTTATACGGGTAGGGCATAAACTTTGAAATAAATGCTACACTTACAGTCAGGTATTTAGACATCTTAGGAAGGTACTGAAAGGTTTGGCCTTCTCCAATGTTCCATTCATTCAAAACTAAACAGTAGAAATTAATAGAACACAAGGAACAGTAGAGGATTTTGTCAACTGTCAAGGAATTCAACGCAAAGACCCAGAACGTTAACACAATTAAGTGCACACTAATGTTCTCTTCCACGTTTTCTCTCTCACCAAATTGTTCATAGACGAACAACAGAAGCACTTAATAAAAAACATACAAAAAATGTAATTACAAAAAACGAACAGTTTGGAGTCCTTTACGAAACCACGCCAGTATTGAGATCACGATGTTGATGACGATGACGTATTAATGAGCCGATCCGAAGAGTTACATAGGCCCAGATGAAGTTAAAGCAATGTTAAGGCGTGAAGGAATGGATGGATGTATCGAATTTAAAAATGTTGAAGTTACGAGGATGTTTTTTTGATGTCTGGTGCTTGAGTGTGGATACGAATTACCAGCAAAATTAGCTCGAAAGAGTTTTCACCCCTGGCGATGACGTTTAATTAAGTGACGAAATTGTAGTGAAAAGTGAAAAGAATGAAAACTTATACCATCTGCAGAAGTTAATGAAACAAGGTATCGAGAAGTAACAGGTAATTGCAAAAAAAAACCGGTAAAGGAAAACATTAAGCTCAGTAAACAACATGTATTAGAGATGCCGAATAAAAGAGATTCCCCTCTATCTGCAAATGGAGATGAGGAGCTGCACCTCACTGGGAACAGCGACAGTGAATCGAACAACGAAAGCGATTACAATACACGTTATGAAAACCGACAACTGGGAGTAACTGTTTCGAGCATAATTGATAGATTACGAATAGGGTCGGAATGGTATCGGGGAGAAATAATATAATTATGCCACAATATCTACATAAATAACATGGTGATTTTTTTTTATTTACTGTAACTTTGTCATTGGTCTCCCTAGGGATACTGTGGAGTCACTTGTAACTAGTCGTCAGAATTTGACGAGGAAAGAATTTAAACATATTCTAGAATCAGAAGCACATCCTTGCAAACGTTTTTTAGACAAGCCAGTGGATCATGGCTTGTAAGACTAACCCAGCACACCTCAGAATACCTGTATCATGCACTGTTAGGCACATGCAATCGTTTATTCCTTGAGGTGCTAAACTTAACTTAATTTGATATGTATATAGTTTTGAATTTTTATTGTAATATTACCGTAATTCTTATCGCCAAAGGTAATAAACAAAGGTATTATTATTGTTATTATTATAACTCCATTACTCTGGGTGCATTTTGATTGGATAAAACGTTGGATATGCAAGGATAAATAAATGTATTATTGAGGGGTTCGTCAAAGGTATAGTAAGGACAGTAGAGGATTTTGGTCAATTTTTTTTTCAAGGAATTGGATGCGCAGAGGCAGAGTGTTAACATCATTAAGCGCACACTAATGTTCTCTTCCACTTTTTCTCTCTCACCAAATTGTTCATAGACGAACAACAGAAGCAGTTAATAAAAAACGTACAAAAACTTAATTACAAAAAAGGAACAGTTTGGAGTCCTTTAAGAAACCACAGCAGTATTGAGATGATGAAAGTTACAACGACAATAACAATGACGACATTGATGACGATGACTATTTAGCAATGAACCGATCCGAAGAGTTACATAGGCCCAGATAAAGTAAAGCGAAAATAACGATGATGATGACGATAAGGTAATGATGAGCCGATCCGAATAGTTACATAGGCCCAGATAAAGTAAAGCGAAAAAAACGATGATGGTGACGATGACGATAAGGTAATGATGAGCCGATCCGAAAAGTTACATAGGCCCAGATAAAGTAAAAGCGAAAATAACAATGATGATGTTGATGACCATGACGAGGACGTAATAATGAGCCGATCCGAATAGTTACATAGGCCCAGATGAACTAAAGCGAAAATAACGATGATGGTGACGAGGACGTCGTAATGAGCCAATCCGAATAGTTACAGAGCCCCAGGTGAGGTAAAGCGATGTTGAGGCGTGAAGGAATGGATGGATGTATCGAATTGTTAATGTTAATGTTGTGTTAGGAGAAAAAAAGTGAAATCATCAAAACATTTATCAGCAATTGAGTTCAATGAACTACAATAAATATTACCCATCACCGGAAGAAAATATTGCAATGCATGGTCACGAAAAATGGCTGTAAAAAGAAAGGATGCAAAATTTTTTCAAGGTTAACCAGCAAAGTCGAAGGGATTCGGACTGTCAATTACTCATCCTCAGAAAAATGCATTCTTGGTGTATTGCTGAGTAAATGGATTTATTAAATAATAGGGTACTGTAATAATTCATTTTCAACGTGAATTTGACTTTATATGAGTCTAAAAGTCTTATCGATAATATTAATGATACTGATTTTATTATTTAAAATAGTATAGAGAGATTGATAATGACAGTGAGTACAACAATAATAAATAAATACTTAAGGTAACTTGGACATTGGTAAGAGAAATCAAGTTTTATAGGCTTTCTTAACTCCTTATTAAGTCTTTTAAAGATGATTAGTCGAAAAGAAAACTATTGTATGATTTTTTAAGACCTTTTTTGTGAGCCATAAAAAAAGCTACTGGATCACCAGCAATCCTATTACCCTTTTGAAGGCATCAAAAAGCGACAAAAGCAAAAGAGAAAGCAACAGAGCAAGTCGAATGCGACGAAAGAACGTGCGCAACTGATCGAGAGATTCAATTATTACTCTGATGATTCAGTGACGATAAATTAGTAATGAATTCAATGATTGACATTGATCGGTTTGTATAATCAATGCTATAAATTGTATTTATTGTTTTATTAATAGTAGTGATTATACTAACGAAAGTATTCATTAATAAAGCCAGCAATAGTTGATATACATGGTAACCGAGTAGCCATCGTGTCGGCCTTGGCAACAATTCACTATATACTGAATACTTCAGTTTAGTGAAGGTTTTTTTTACATATAATATCAGTAACTTTGCAAAACACCAAGCCTGCAAAAGCTTTTGACATATTTACCATCTGTTTGCGGTGGTATTTATTTCTATTCCTTTATACAAACAGGCATCGATGATCAGAGAAAAACATAATAAAGTGCAAAGGACTTTATTCTGATGATTTACTGATATCGATTACCCTCTACAATGAAACTTGTTTAATTCTCGACCAGATTAAACAAGTCTTTTCAAACAAAATTTTGTTTTGGGAAGAATTTCTCATTGTGATCTCCCTCCATGGTGACACATGCTTAATTTGATAATCATATTAAACATGTTTCACTGATAGAATTCTGCGTCCATCTTAGATGAATGCAGTAAAAGTTGGCCGTAATAAAGTACAAACAACCATATCATCAGAGATTCCAATTCTGTCGTAGTATAGTTTTACGCCGTAGCCATTTTGATTTTTTTCTTAAATAGTACTGAAAACAATATTGGATCACTGTAATGTAGAATATGTAAATGATAAATAAATAAATAAATAAATAAATAATGATTTGGAGGTAGCACATCCACAAAGTGGTTCTTCGTCTACCTGCATGATTCCTGGTCGAACTGGAATTTCTACATTGAAATATAGAGTTACATATTGAAATATAGTGGTACATTACCAAAACCATTAATTTTGTTGGTCCTTCATATCTGCAGGCTGAAAGTAGCTTTCATTGCAGGAACAAGTAATATCTTTACACTGTACAAGAACGAATAACAAACACAATGTAATCAGCTATGAGGTGCGATTTGTTCACAATTTCCTCGCTGTACAATTAGTTTATTTTCTATACACACGTCTGAATCATTCTATGTTCATGTTTGCGGTAATATTAAATAAAACAATGTATTATTAAGGTACTTAATTACATTGTTTATTTATTTAAATATATTTTTTCTCATAAAAAAACAGACCAGTGATGACGTTAAACACTATTAAATAAATATATAGATGAAATATTGAATAAACATTAAATCTAACCTGAATAATGTCCCTGAGTTGAGACGCAGAGATTTGCATAGTTGAAGGGTAACCTCTACATGTTAAGCAGGTTAGCTTAACTAACTCATACCTCATACCTTCAAGGTCTTAAGAGCTAACCAAAGCATCTTTTTATTAGGTACAAAGGGAACACTAAAAATACTTTCTAGATATGTTTGAACACCCTTAATGAACATTTTGACATCTAAATTGGGGTTTAAAATATTAATTTTAGTATCTGAACGTAATGTCCGCAACATGGAATCACCCTTTGCTGAAAATGAAAAGCAATAGTAACAGTCACGACCGCCGTAGAGAAAAAACGAGCGACCATTATCAAACTTTTACGTCTGCCAAACCTCATACATGTACTTCTCTGGTGGTCCCAAATGAAGTTAACCTTCAGTGCTTCATGTGTAAGCTTTAAATATGAACAGACTTACCGAGTCAGCTTCTCCTTGGCTCGACTAATACTGAAGGAAAGTTCATCGACGAATAAACAATGCGTCAAAAGATTGCAGTGATGTTGAAAACGCCAGTTTCTCGCACCTTTTTCATGTTAAGACTGTTTCCTCGATTCTTCAGTTCTTCCTTTTTGTGTCAGATGGTTTCACCGTTATTTTTTTAAGGTAAAACACAACAAATTCGACAAGACAAACCAAAACACAGTTTCGCTCAATGGTGAAGTAAAAGTGGTTTGACCAAGAGGGTAATTAAAACCATTTTTGGTTGTCGCGCGGGATATTCATTGTCAAATCTCATTGGTAGTTCAACGTTCATCAAGTTTTCTATTGGTTAACCAGTTCTTTTTTGCCACAAAAAAATGTAGAAGAGATGTGGCGTGGAAAACTTCGCACCTACGGAGTAACACTACATTCTCGCGTGTGGAATCAGTAATTCTGAGAATTCATTAAATATAATAATTAAAAACGTGGGTGACAAAAATGCAAGAAGACAAACACCGCTATTTCCATATAGCAAGTATAACTTTATTGCAGGAAAGCTACCTCGGATATATTAAAACACCTTTTTCACGGGGTAGAAATTTGCAATAAATTTTGAAACATTTTTCTTTACTTTTCTCCTTCTTCCCACACTTCAAGCATGGCGTCTATATGTTATATTTTGTTTGTGTTGTGTATGATTTCACAGAGCATGCAGGGACGTTTTCACGTGCCATGCTATTTATTCACCAGACAGAAAAGCAGAACAAAAGTATCTTGTTTTAATTAATGCTTTCGTTCGCTACCCGACTACAAATAGCTTTTCAAACTCTTTATTGTATTAGTTTCACGTGGTTAAGTCTTGGAGCAGTGCGGGAAACGAAAAGATAAAGGTATGAACTTTAAAATTCCTATTGGTAAAAAAAACCCTAGTGAAGGATGACTTTCGTAGCAATCAAGTTCGGCTTTCAAGTGAAACGCCGGCAGTAAAACAGCATTGTCGTGCTTCGAAATTCATTTGTGGCTCATGAAGACTTTATTATGTTCTAGCACTGATAAGAATTCGCAAAGTATAAAATGTTAACGTATGAAATTGTTGCTCAAGTTGGGCTAGCATTTTTTTTATGACAGGACTTTCTCGTGATTTTTTTGTACATTAAGAAGAGAATCCACTCTGCACCCCTGTCAGATAGTTTCACAACATCAGCAGCGTTTTTACCAAGTTAAAAAATTCTATCGTGAACTTAAACCTCGATGAAACGCGCTCCATAAATAGCATTCAGCTAGGAAAGTACTTGAGGATGCTGAGTGCCGCTTTTCTGTTTAAAAGTTAATCGCATAAATAGGATATTGAGCCGTAACTATAATGCATCTAAGTGGGTAAATGAAACAAAAGTATGTGAAATGTTTGTATGCAGAAGCTATAATAACTCCAGAAAGTCGTCCGCCGAGTTATAGAGGAAAAAATGGACATCTTTTATATCGGAGAATGGTTATATAAGGCCCCGTTCAAAAGTTTTATTCCACATGTGCTGAATCTAATACCGGGGGGGGGGGGTACTTTAGGAATTTCTGGGTGGGGATGTGCCGCTGGGACTGTGGAACCCTCAACCTATACCAGAGCTAGTTCAGCTAAATTTTGC